CGCACCTGTACTAGGACGCTGCAATTTTTAACTCAACGTGTCCATAGACTGTACATCCAATGAGGAATACGCAATGGTTCAGACTCTATGCCGGAGAAGCAACTTTAATATTCATGCACACATGCATGCAGGTATACATGTACATGGTCCAAAGCAGGGCCTGGAGCGGTACATGTGCACTAGCTGGACAATAGTTTGAGAAATTTAGAATCAGACAACAAATTGTTGTTTTCAAAGCAGTTTATTAAGCCAACAGAGTTATGTATGTAACGTTCATACCTGTACATACATGTACATGTCAGAACGGACGTGACAAAAACAAAAAACTTGTGTTCATCATGCATGGTGTGTTCATGAAGGTCATGACCAGAAAGAAGCTTTGGTAATAGGAGTTAATACATGATTACAGGTGCATAGACTTGGGGCACTGTACTATGAAAAAGAGATGGTCACTGCACTTTACAGGGAGCATGCCTTGACCTGGAATACGTGTACTGACTTCAGAGTATTATTTTTGTTTTCAGATGAGATCAGTAAGTAAGTGTCCTGATATAAACAATGACACCGGGAAATGATTAGATGGACTTGACTGTCAACAGTGACTGACTGTTGATGATCTACCGGGGGGGGGGGTATATAGGGGAATAGTCCCTCCACTTTTTTGACTGGGGTTGCTGCCCTCCCCCCCCGGCACTTTTTGCAGGTATACATAATGGGGTGAGGTTAATTGGATTGGTCTAGTAATGGCTGATGCTTGATGGTCTCACAACTGGTGCACCCCACTTTGAAAATTGTTCTGCCGCCCATTGTCTGCAGAATTCTTGCTCTTACAATTGATGTACATGTACAGTATGTTCATAGTAGGGTTACAGTAAGTTCCACTGTATATATGAAAAAGTATTGTATACTCTTGAGCAAATCAAGATTTCAAATCAGGTGTACAAATTCAGGCAGGGGATTATAAAAGAACAAAGTATGTTTGAAACTAAAAGAAATCTACAAGTGGATACAAATTAAATGTTTGGGTGGTTTTATTTTCGATAGGGTGTTTTAATGATGTACATGTACATGTAAGACGTAAAGGGTAGTATTCACATACATGTATTTACACACATACATGTACTCTGAAAAATATCCGATTTTGTTTAACATACCGGTAGCTGAAAAATCCTAGAATTTGGATAGTAAAGCCTTAAATGAGTGTTCATGTAAAAAGTTCCCAGAAATAAAACAATTAAACATGCAAATTAACACCTCCCTCCCCCCCTCTTAAAACACATACGGTATGACTGTATACAGCTACGAACTCACAAAGCACAGGCCTACCACTGGTAAATTGCGATCATTTTAATTAATATCTGCATCATTATCACTTTGACTTGTACATCTTCACTCATCAATGAAATGACGATGGCAGGGAAACAGCCACAACAGACAACAACAGATGTTACATGAGTTCCAATGTGTCTCATCCGTGTTTGTAAAATGCAATTAAGAGAAAGATTGTGTATAAATTCAGATAATAAGGTATGCTGCAATTGTGTTTCTACGAAACTGCTCTCCAACAAATGAGCACTATAAATCTGTCAGAAAAGTAGTATCTGGCAGGAAAGGGGAGCTGTTATCAAGATTCTGTTTCCTAGTAACTAGACGTTCAGATGCCCCAAGGAGAGTCCTTCTCCCAATCCACCCCTGGTACGGTATCTATGGTGCAATCAATTTCTGGAAGCAAAGTCCAGGCAAACACACGTAAGAAATGTTAACATACACATATGTAGTCCATGCGGGAACTTATTGCAGCCTGCCAACAAGCACGGCGCTTCAAAGTGATAAATTTGCCGGCGTCTGCATCTGGTGGAGATTCTACGAGCTCGTTCGCTTTGCTTTGCTCTCAAATTAATGCAGATTCGTGGACTCTACATTTGATGACCTCATTTAATCTCTCTCCCCTGTGGAATGTGAATGCTCAAAAGGCTTAAGGTGATAATGTACAAATAAACGTACTACTGTGCATGTTCATGTACGCACCTGTGCCAGCACATGGACGACTGACGTTGTACATGTAAATCATAATATCTCCCAAACATTTAATAATTACCCTGTAACTCAAAATAAGAATGACTTGAAATCATACAGCGGCTGATTTAAAATCAGTTTGAACAGCCTTGGCTAGATGACTAAAAATAGTCACGATGTAATGTACATGTACATCATAGTGCCTACAAGGCATTCTCTTACATTAATTTTCCCTCTAACCACTTGCCATCAGTTTTACTCCAAATAAACTGTACATGTGTGTTGCAGGATTCGTGTAATGTAAGTTTTCATGCATTTCTGGTCTGTGATGGTTTGTGTTTAGCTGATTGTTAGCTGATTTCTGGTTCATTATGTGATACATGTACATGTAGTTTGTGTTTAGCTGATTGCTAGCTGATTTCTGGTATGTGATACATGTAGTTTGTGTTTAGCTGATTGCTAGCTGATTTCTGGTATGTGATACATGTAGTTTGTGTTTAGCTGATTCTCCAGCTGATTTCTGGTGCATTATGTGATATTTTGTATTGAGCTGACTGTTTAGCTGATTTTTAACTTTATGTTGTGTGATTTGAAACCATTTTCATGTTAATTAATACTGACACCAATTTCCACATTCATTAGTAACTGTGTGGTACATGTATTGGTACATGTACTCGTTATCCATGGCAGAGACCTCTGTCTTTGTACACTAACTTACAGTGTAACTGCACCACAATGAGCCAGAATTTGATATTCTCCTTCCTTTTGTTCTGATTTCTTTTTATGACATGTCCTTGCCATCAAACATGACAAATTCCACCTCAACCTCTCGTTGGAGACAGTACATAAGGTTGATTCAACTTCGGAAAACTGTTTTTAGGTTATATTTTAAAATTTGTTGATGTTTGTAAATCTCGAGGATTGCTGTGGTTGAGTACATGTACTGTATGCATTGTAGAACGTTTTCCCTGTATACTTAATACATCAAGAATGAATGATCAAACACGATACATGATGTATTACCATAGTATGACGTATTTGTATACCGTAGTATGACGTATTTGTACAAGTCAAAGTTCCACATGTGTCTCAGGTTACACCTCTTGCCAAAATGATGAATTTAAACTTGTTCTAGATCCAAAAAGACCAAACTGCATGTACGTGTACGTGTACATGTGTACCACCAAAAAGCCATAGCTGTTCTAGCCCATAGTCGATGCGGTTTAATGTTCCACTTCTGCGAGTTAATGATGAGCTTCAGGATTCTCCATGCACAAAATGCAGACGTACATGTACATGTAATGTGCCCTTATATCGGTAGAATCATGGGGTTCGTCACTCTGCCTCAATGCATACTAGTAGCAATGGAGCAGTACATGTAGCTCTAGGGCTAGGTGTACACTTAAGTCGTATTGGGCCTATCCTAGAGCACCCTAAATTTGCACATCCACTTGTTCATACACTGTGATTTCATACTGATTACTCAACCTTTCTGGGGGAATCTACCTAGTATACGGTCGCTCATCAGATCAACTTTTTTTCAGAAAGATTTTACTTCAGTACCATAACCAAAATCAGTTTGGAACAGCAGAATCTTCCAAAATAACTATCCAGTTGTGTTCAGAATTACCGGTAGGGTCAATTTTAACACTTTCATCAGGAAATCTTCATGTGACACAGGGGAGAAAGTTCCAGTTTTCTGTGTTAGATGCTCTTGGCACTGTCTGGTGACTCAAAGTTTTCACAGGTACATGTACATGCAGGCCAACTTTCTGCCCGATTTTTTCACCGGTTTACTGAAATAAATCTGGAAATGACACATAGTGCCAAGCATCCAGATATTATAATTCTGAACACTACTGGATTCTGGTGGGAGAATTAAAGTAAAATTTTTCCATTTTTTTAAGTGCAAATTAAAGCAGCGTTGGGAATACATGCATTGTTAAATGGAAGAAGAGGGTACAATGTTACTGAATACAAAAGATAACCCACAAAAATTGTCTACAAAACTAATAAACAATGACTGTGGGCTCACGATCGGTGTTGCACCCCTGACTCCAAAACACAACTTTGGTCAACTTTTGGTAACAGTTGAAGACATTAGTAAAACTGCAGAGCCTGAAGAGAAAAAATCATGCACTTTATAATTTTCTCTTTACCAAGGTGCCGATCTTAGTGCTGGGTAATTGTTTTTGAATTTCTTTTTCAGAAAATGAACAAAAGTTTTGAGTGATTACCTGCAAGTGACAAAAGTTAAGAAAGGAAATGGGGAAAGGTCAAGGTGGCAAATAAAAGTAAAAAGAGTTCCATACACGGATGCCTGAAATTATTCCCTAAGGTGACCTGTTACTAGCCATCAGAAAGCAAAAAAAGTACAGCAAAGTTCAATTTAAGATTCAATTCAGACCAGTCTCATAGGGTTTGTGCACGGGGTGTCAAGTGGCATCTGTATATGGAACTCTTTCCAAGGACATTTTTGCTCAAATTGCATCACCAACCCAATTAACAAACTGACAAAAATATGGGGACAGAGTTCAATACGGGAAATTAACACTTGGCACCCCTGTGCGCAAACCTAGTATGGGACTTGTCTGAAAACACCTATTTTTGAAGTAAACGCTTTGGAATTTTCTCAGCGAAATTTCACTTTTTAGGGCATATAACCACTTTCTGGTGGCTGTACTGTTGTTCGTATGTCCATGGTATGTCGAACTCTTTCCAAAAATTGTTCTAAGAATTTTCAGAAAACAGCTGCTAACAAGAAGGCTTCAACCGATCTAATTCGACGACACTGCATGCCAATAAAAGTGAAATTTACTGAAAATATTTACAATCAAAATTTGATCAAAGTCGCAAGTTAAGTGTGCAAATTTTGGCAACTCATGGATACCCCGAGAGCTGGAGAGTAGACCTAGTAAGTAGTAATAGTATGGGGCTGTTTCAAAAAAGCTCCGGCCTAGTGGTACATTTAACAACGCACTTACCCAGATATTCCTGCCCTGGCACGTAGAAGGACGGATGGCCCGCTATTCTGATTCGATACCCGTTGTCTCCGGGTCGTTTGGGCACCGAAAAGTCCCCTGGGAGTCTTGAGCACGACCGCCTCGGTACTGCCAGCGTTCCTACCAGTAATGTAAGCGAGTAAAATAATGAGATGGCCGACGTTTTAATAAAAATCCGCGCCATTTTGGGGACTCCGGTAACAGCACCGCCTCGTCCTGGCGTCTTCAGAAGTTTTTTCCAAGCTCCCGGCTGCGCTGGTACTGAGTACCGGTGTACTACTACGCAACGGACCCCGGCAATCAATAAAACTCAGCCACTGCACTCGACTAGAAACTCAAGTCGGCCGGCCCGGCGCGCCTCGAGCTCGGCGCGGCCCCAGCATGATGGAAATGGACATGTACGGCTGTTCTATGCCATCGGAAAAGTTTCCAGGATAGGTACTCTAGCGCCCTCTTGCGTTAGAGGCGTCTGACTTTCCACTTTCTCCTAGGCGTGTTGATGTTTTGCTGATGAAAACATAAAACAGGACAAACATGTTTAGTGTCAGAGGTTTTGTTTTGAAAAGGATGAAATGGGTGTCATATTTATTTTCACGTTGAAGATGGCCACCATTTTAAAATCTCCATCAAACATTCGTGTTCAAATACGAAATAAAACCTAAGTTGAACGAGAGACTTCAACACACTAGTTTTGGTAGTAGGTTTGTAGCAAATCAGAAGAATTAAAATAAAACACAGTCACTTCCAAGGGCGTTGGTGCACTTGATTGAGCAATAATCGGGCGGTGCCATATGCGGACACGTACTGAGACTGCACAGTCAACTGAATGATGTGGAAAGTGACTAAGGGCGGATCTGGGGGGAATCATCGGGGGGTATGCCCTTCCCCCACCAAAGAAAGAAAGAAAGAAAGAAAGAAAGTAACCAAACAAGAGATAGTGGGCTTAGTTTGGTTTATTTCATTTCCCCTCTTTCCAAAAGCGTATTAAAGGCTTAGACGTAGCACTACCCCTTAGAGATGCCATGAAAAACGTCATGAAAAATTTTCCACTTTGGGGGTCAAACAAGTTTAGCTACCCCCTCCCCCTTTGGTTCTGGATCTGCGCTTCAAAGTGACCATCAGAGCCTTTGGAGTTTTTACTTTCCAATGGAGTGGACGATATTTATATGTTTTATCGACAATTTTTCTTTTATCAACTCATTTATGCTTTCCATTTTCAACAGAATTTCTTGGTCCGGTTAGGGCAAGTGGTCATTACCAAAGTCAGCGTCAAATTTTTAATTAATCGCCTTTTTACCTTGTTACCTGGTAAACGAAATGTCTGGTAAGTCTTTATTACCCGTACACTATTGCTGGCTTAGTGAAAAAATAGGCAAAACATATTATTGCGCATGTTTTATGACCTTTAGTTGCGCTCTGTGGAAAATAAGGCACCTTTCCCTATCTCCTTAGTAAGTTTAGTAGAAAGTTAGGCAATTGAAAAATGAAACATTTGAAGAAGTTCACTCAACACTTCCGAGTCCTACGTCTCGTCCTGTCCGGGTTTCTGGTGAAGAACAAAACTTTGATCGGTTGTTGTCTCGGCAGCGGTGTTATCATCGTGATGTGTGCGTGCTGGTGCATTACAAACCTGCGTTCGAAATGGGTTTACCACAGCCAAGCTTCACAGGTTACATGTACATGTATACATGTCGATTGTTAAGTATGCATGAACTTAAAACTGGCTCTTGCCCTCAACCCCAATTCACCAGTTATACCACTTCCAATTCTCACCCGGTAATTTTCTTCAATGTTAGTGCCCCTGAAATCAATGTAGCGCCCGCTATCTGCCCTGAAATGAAGGATTTTTCTGCAATGCCCCTTTCTTTTAGGTGGATATAGTTTTACACTTTCGTTTTTCACTTAATGTCTTTTGTGTTGCTATTTTTAAAAGATATTTTGGTGCCTTTTCGGTTTTTATGGTGATGAAAATGTCAAGAATCCTGAGACACATGATATTATTTCAGGGTGAAATCTCACCTTTGCATTGATTTACGCACCACAAACGGCAATTTTGGACATAGTAGTGTTTTAATTTTGTCCTATTTTTGCTGTTTTTTGTTTAATTTTTGTGATTCATTGTTGAGAACATGGTAATAATCCAACACACAACCTCTTTTTAAGAATTTTTCAATAAGCAAATTTTAGGTTGAACAAAAAATCAACAGCACAACGCAGCAACAGCGTCCTCTCTTGTCTGCAAAAGCACAAACCACTTTATTTATAAGGGCACTTTTCAAACACTGCTTTGGTTACAGCTCCTATAACACGGCCAGGAACCATTGAAACAACACGGAGTACAATCCCTCAATACCATCTGGCTTATGTAAGACGGACATGATGTCTCGGCTAAGACATCGAACCGCAGCGTGCTACCAGCAAAAAAGAAAAGAAAAGAAAAAGCCCCTACCATGAGATCCGTTTTGAAGAGGCGATGCAATAATATAATTGTCTCTTTGCAGTTTGATAACTTGGACGGTTGCATGACATAACAGTTTAAGCACTTTTAATGTATTTCACACATACACTAGTCCGAGTTTAAAAAAAGGTGTAATACAAGATTTAATCCTAAAATGAGAAAGAACTCATGAGAGGAGAAGCGACCGATTTTGAGGCGAAACGAGTATGCTAAACATCAACCATTTTCTTGGAGGGAGGGGTCTTTTAATCCACTCTTCTATCCTCTGGTTTCGCTATGGAAATTGGTCAATGGGAATCAGACCTTGGGCGGAAAGACTTGCGGTAGCGCCATGCGAAGGAATACCACACATACTTATAAGAGATATATTCCTTCGCATGGTGCTACTGCAAGCCTTTCCATCCATTGCTGTCTTTCACCATGAATAGCCTGAAATTCCAACGGGAATCAGACTTGCAAGAAATGGCCGTAATAAACATGCACCCATACAAAGAAGTACAAATAGCAAGCAAAGATCTTGTAGGGAGGGTTTTACTTTTTAGCAGCGATCTGAGTTTTTTTTTTATTTTTTAAATATTAAAAATTTGACTATAAAAGAATCACTTTTATATCACTGATTTACATCTACTGTACTACGTTCTACATGTACTTACTGTTGTATTTGTTCAACTTTGATGGAATGGATTGGCAAAGCAATGTTAAAGTAGTTTTAGTCATCACAAACATGTTTACAAGTCACTCGTGTGAGTAAAGGAACATTTGCTCACACTGGTAAAATAATTTAAACATATTCAGTAATCTAAACAAGGCAGTCACACACTTTCTCCACAGATTCTGGCTAAGTTACAATAAAAACATGAGTTTTGCTAATATGAGGGAGTTGATATATTTATTCATTGCCTAAAGTTTTAAATAATTTCTTCATGAAATGCTTTACCCAACATCTTAAATAATTCCTTCATTAGTTCTCGATTCACTTTAATCACTTTTGGGCCATGGAGTATATGGAAAAAGGTGAAGAAAACATGTGCTCCCCAGAAATCTCCAAATTTGCCCAGTATAGTTTTGAAACGTATATTACTTCAAATGCCATTCGTTTAAGTGAAGCTAGACGGCAGTCACTCATTAACTGAGGGCTAAAGAATCCATTCAGCCCTTCTGTGTCCTCTGCATAACTGACCACTAATTGTTTGACCAACATACTCTACTGTAGCACTTTATTTGTACTTGGTCTCTATTTGTACAGTTTCACAACCACCATACACGTAGTTGATGGTTATGGAGTCTTATTAGTTTTGCATTGAAATCATTAAACAGCTGTTACCTGCTATGCAGTGAAACATGATATTTTTATTGCTTCTTTTTAGCAGAGTGCTGCCACATATCCCACATCACCAAATCAGCTACATGCACTGATTTGTCACAAGGTGAAAACAAGCCAAAAGGACAAAGGTTGACTCGTCAACTACTCGCTTTAGTTGCTAATGGTACAACTTCTGCTGGAAAATTTGGGTTTCCAAAAAGGCAAGATATACGTAGCAGCCGACTTTTAATATCTGTCAAATGCCAGGAATATGATTCACAAGAGTCATTATAACAGTTATTGAACAATATTTCCCACTTCAACTTCATATTTTTTATACTCAGGAGAATGATCTCGGAGTGATATTTGCTACCAATACCAAAGCAGGCTGTGCAAAGCAAACGAGTTCAAGTTTAACACCAAAGCGAGCTCAACTTTGGATAAACTTCAAACCTGTCCCACGAGGAGACTTTTTTTCAGCCTTTCTCCCTCCGATATCTTTGGACTTGAATTTCACGAATACGGTCACTGTACGGTAGCTCAGTTTGCGCCATTCGAAGGCAGGTTCTGTTCTCCATAGCTTCAGGCTTCAGCTTGAAGCTATCAATGTCGATGCCTGGTGGTCGCCACACCTCGTAATCTTCGCTGACAACTTCAGCAATGCACAATTTTTCAAAAAATTCTCTCCGCTGCCGCAATTGGGCCACCTCCTGCCGCATTCTCTCGTGTCCAAAGGCCTCAACCTTCTTCCAGAATGTGCGGTTGAAGGTGTTGTACAGCTGCACGTCCCCGAAATTCCACTGGCGGATTTTGTCCGCCATCTGTGGCGAGACAGCCTTCACTGAAGACTTGTTGCGGGCATTAAGGACAAAGTAAATGATGTCGTCCATTTCCCAGCACATGAGATCGCGAAATAGTATGAGAGATTCGTCAAAGTATTCCGTCAGCATCACCAGGTCAAACTGTCTCACCAGCAGTTGAATTTTCTTCTTAATCTTGAGCCTGTCACTAAGCAAGGCCTCCTCTAGGCCTAAGTCAAACAGCATAGGATTCCGGGCTTTGCATTTCCCGCCGTGGGCAAGACTATAGTAGTGCTCCGGCTGCTCGAGGAAGAGCTCTAACGCCCTGTTCCTGGGGAGGTTGTAAAGGCTATCAAAGTTGCTGTAGGTAAAGAGTGATTCGTACATGGTGACCGGGTTTCGGATGATAGTGGTGTAGACTGCATCACTCTTCATAACCTCCGCCATGCCTGTAACGTTAATGTTTCAGAAATGATGAAAAATCAAATGCATTAAAAATAGAAATGACCACAGTGAACAAGACAGAGTGGAAAGAGCACAGCAGACAGCACAACAGTGACCATGACAATATTCTAACGATCAAATAAAACTGCCAGAAAACTCGACACCGCTTACCTCTGTGACTGACAAATGAGCAATACAGACAGCACAAAAGGTGACTTCATGACTTTGTAACTATGACAATTGTGCTAATAATCAAATAAAATGCTAGATAAGTTGACACCGCTTACCTCTGTAACTGAAGCGAGTGTGGTGACACAGGATGTTGTACTTTTTCACGGGAAACTTCATCATGACCTTCTTGTTAAACACACCGTACATGTCCCCGAGGTAGTTCCCCTTCTTTGGTAGAACAAAGTCCAGCTTGTGCTCCTCCCCATAGCGAAATAAAATGTTCTGCACTGTGCTGCTGCTGCATTTGTGCATCTTAAAAAACACAATATTGCTCCTGGGTGTGCAGTGATTTTCCTCCACCGTTTCTTGGCTTTCATCCAAAGACAGCGATGAGATACTTTGGTTCTTGCTGTCAGGATGTTTAAGCTTGACCTGTCGGAAAATGAAGAGAGAAACAAGATGTGTACACCGGAGTTGAAAACCGTCAATACATTAAAGTTACAACTGAAAGTTCTATTTTCATAAGCTCCTCAAAGTGTTCAGTCTCACATTTTTTTCCTTCAAACCATCTGAGAATTATAAAATGCAATATAAGTTGACAATAGTATTACAATCAGCAATTCTCTTTTTTTCCAATTATGACATCAGCCATGAGTGTAAACATGCTCAATAATGGTAAAAGGTAATACAAGTGCATGTAATTTGTTTGCTATTCCTTTGAAATATTATGCCACATTGTCCAATTCATTACAATGATCAATGTTCTCCCTCCTTTGTGAGCAGTGTTGACTAATAACAAAATAAGTACTTCTAGCCCGCTAACCCCAGTCTCTTGAAATTGTGTCATTTGTGACCCGCTCTGCAAAAAAGGGTAATAAGTCACGCAATGCCAAAACATGTCCTGGCCTGTTCTATTTGGAGAGGGCAACATTTCTTCAAAAATGTGATTTTTGTGTTTTTTCCTTTAAAACTTTTTATATTTAAATTTCCCGAATTTGTGACTACAAACATGGATATTGATGAATAAAGATGAAAAATTGATCATTCAGTAGGAAATCCTACATAGCATTGTATATCCAAGCGCTACAATTCAAGAGCTTTTTCCCAAAAAGTACTTTTATTGAATCCGAAAATGTGGGTATACGAATGTCTATATATATATCCAGAATGCTGTGTACTACAGGGGTAATTCATGTATCAAATTCTAGCTTTTGATGTACAGAATCCAGCCATATCAAAAACTGATAACCTGAATCTGGCGACTTATTACCCATTTTTCTAGAGCCGGTCACATTTGACAAAGTCTAGTACCTGTCTCAATGCAAAATAGTCTTTACCTCAGCCATGTCGTGCCATCTTTCTTGGAGTTTGGAATTTTGCTTGTCAGAGGTGCTGGACCTGCAGAAATTTACATGTGTTAAAAAGAAGGGGGTTGGTTTGGAGCAGTGATGTTTTCTTGTCTTACAAATCAACTAAGAAAATGCATCAAGGAAATTAGCCTGTTCACTGGTTCTTTGGAAAAGTATACACACATGTACATGTATGTGTACATGCACCAGTTATGTGAAAGATATTCACAATTTAAATGAATTAAGTATATTTTGGCACCTTTCTAGTAGCAAAATGGAAGTACTCCCCGATATCCTGTTTTTCTCTGACCATGATAAGATACCCTCAAGCCTCCCCCATAAAGATGCCTTACCGTGGGCATAAAACCACTCCTGTATGCACTGTGCGACTATGGAATCCTCATTATCATCATAAAATGTCACCTACTGCATACTTCTTGGATGTTCAGGCTGAAGAGTGGCACTTAACCCAAGACAGTGTGAAATCTCACAAAAAAAAAGGGACTGTCAGGTTATGATCCGTGACCTCCAGTTCCCGCGTGTGAATGATGCAGAATGAACTCAAATACATGCACATGCATTTATCTAGGAGGAAGTCCATTTAAAGGTTTCACTCGCCAAAAGGAAAACCAAGTTAAAGGTGCCAGTCATTGCGCAGAGAGAGTATTGTAACCACAGCCTTTGGGTTGGCAGCATTGAGGAAATGCACAAAAGGACCAGTGAAGCACGAAGCGAGAGAAGTTGAGTGATAATACAGTCAAAACTTTTCAGACTTTTCCATTACCGTAAAGGGGGTTTCACATTTCACTGTAGGGTTTGCGAAGAGGGTGAAACCAACTTTTTCACTGATCTCCTACATGTACATGTAGAAACCCCCCCCCCCGGTACTTCTGCTTACAAACACTGCCCATTGATGCTGACTAACATGTATGTCCACATTGTGTAATGAGCTACTGAAAAAAAGACATCACATGACAAGACAAGACATGAAAAAGTGGTACTTTGTTGATGCTGATTGGTTTCCATACTCTGAGTAACTTTACATGCACATGCATGTACATTATTTCCACTGAAAAACACACAGCTCAAATATGTGTAATGTAACATGTGAGACTATGGTTTTGTATTGAGCCCAAAGGTTTAAATAAATATGTGCCAACCTCAACATGAAAGAAGGTAACAAAAATTTTTGGGTGCTGGTAGGTTCACCAATATCCAGCTTAAGTTAATTTTGTTTGTTTAAAAATAAAAGCACCTATTTTTTTCTTAGAGTAAGTAATTGACTTGAGGCTCAGTCTTGTTTTACTGTCTGAAAGAAACACTGGTTTTGCTGATTTGAACCATATCAATAAACAAGCTGATTGAATTACTAGTCATTTATCCTTGTGCCTACCAGAATAACTCTGAAAAAGAACACTGCTTACCCTGTGATGTGCAATTTGAACCTGACTGGTGGGGTCAAGTAGTTGTGATAGGAGTACAGTAACAAAATGCAGAGGACCAGTGAAGACACCACAAGCCCGGCACGAATACCTTGCTTGACAAAGGACATCTTGCATCATCTTCTGGACCAATCACATCAGCTAAAGGAGGGGAGCATGGTCAAGATGAGACAAAATACCAGGGAGATTGATTACTGTGTACTGCCCAGGTTGTATACTGCCTAGGGAGCTGACATTTTTTACAGGATTGTTTCTGGGACGAATCAGGAGGGATATTATGGTGTAAAGTGCATTGCGAGTCTGCCAGTGACTCCAATTTTGTTGTAGGCTTGTTTCTGGGACCAGTCGTGTAAAAAGTACTGAGCGTGTGCCAAGTACATGTACTTCAATGCAATGAGGGTCATTCAGTAAATGTGGGGTCCAATTTTTTTCCCTGCCCCTGTTACGTCTGGTGTGTGATTTTTTAATGTATAGAACTCATTCTTAACTTTCCAAGATTGAAAAATTACTGCAAATTACCTGCCAAACAAATGAAAATAGTTTGAAATTAATTTCAGTGATATATCCCTTGTCAAAGTATACATGTCAGGTGTAACAAGGACAGAAAAAGTCATATGCCGGACCCCAAATTTATACAGTGGCCCATATCAATTAATGATTTACCGTTATTGTTACTCAGCATGACCATAAATGATGGGTCTCTTTTGTGCATTTGATTTATTTAATGCTATTTTCAGCATTATGGAAACTTCCCGTCCCATCTCAATATTAATCACCAGCTTTAATGTTAAACTGACACATAAAAACATAAAATCTGGGGGCCTCCGACACTGCCAATGTTTTTTCACAAAAACGCAATGTTCCTTTTGGGAAGATGAACACAGCATTTCAACAGTGTAGGCCAAGATTCCCTGAGGAGTTGAGGTTGATGTACACATTGTCTACAATATTACAGTATAAAACCCTTGGTTTAAAATCATATCTATAATCTTCGACTACATCACATTTGATCAAGTCCACATGCATACATGTACATGCACTTGAGTAGCACTAACCATGTACACTGTACATAAAGTAAAGACTATACTTGAGCAGTCTGGGCACTACTGCAGTCAAGTTCCTGCAGCTTACAGCCTTTCTCTGTTTCCTTCCTCAGCCACTAAGCTGAGTCAGCAGAGGATAAGGTAACAAATTCTTGTACACAAGACTGTAGATAAAGTAAACACTTTACTCGAGTAGTCTGGGCAGTACTGCAGTCAAATTCCCGCAGCTTGTAGTCTTTCTGTGTTTCCTTCCTCAGCCACTAAGCAGAGTCAGCACATGATAAGGTAACAAACTCTTGTACACAAGACTGTACATGAGGAACACATCCTGTGCACAGCATGCATGGAATACGTAAAAAAAATCCACTGGGTCTCTGGTGTCAATCTAGCCGCCATTTTGTGACCTTGTATCTCATGTTAGGAGAGTTCACTGTGCAGACAGGCCAGCACAGTAGTGCCTAGTCAGTCTTGGCAGCAGGTGCAGTCTGTACATATCAGTAAGCAAGGAGACTGTCTCTTACTACCCTACTCCCTGGGGAAGTGTAGCCATTCTGGCACAATGTAAGAAAAAAACAAAGTTACCCCCCTTCCTAAATAGAACTTATTTCCCTTAAGTCATTTTTATAAGAATCACTAAAAAGTGTGTTAATATATAAGGGTAACTGGAAAGTTGGCTGTCATTACAAAAGGAAAAAAATAATTCAGAAACATTATAATTAATCTCATGGAGTGATAAAACACCATACAATAAATACAACTAGTGTTTAAGTATTTATTACTACTCAAAAGTGCTGGTATTACCTGTAGGACATTAAATAAAAATACAATCCTCTTTAATTCATGTTCATTTAAAACTGTAGATGCAAATAGGTTTTAAACCTGACACTGACCAATAGACCTACTGCTGGTTCTGTAAACATTCCATGCCCATTCGAACAGAAGAAGCTTAGTATACTGTACATTTGCATGTACCCGGTGGTACTCCTTGCTCTATCAATGCTCTGCTGCTAAACTAGCTGTTTATTTCCCGTACTGACCAGAGGCTGTTGTTGGGTGTTTGAACCCAGCATTTTTACACAATTTCACTGAAATCTTGTACTTACATTCTCAGCACTTCATCAATGCCGACTGGTAAAAGACTGTCATCGTCATCGACAGCACGTTTTGGGAATTTTAAATCCTGGTTTTGATACAAAATGAGAGGAAAAAAGGTCAAGGAGTGGCCCACAACACAGTGCAGATCGAGTGAACAAGAACAATTAGGGCCTACCATCTAGTCACGCCGCAGTCACAGTTTCCCTCTAAAAGCAGGGAACAAAGCACAACACAAAGCACAGATTAACTTCTGTTATCCTCTTGTACATAATCCGCAAAGTGAACACACCTACAACCCGTTGATAAACAAGCAATAAACTGCATATCTGTTGTTTATAGCTAACGAATTTCCTACCGCACATAATGTGATGAATGTGCCACGTCCAAGAATGACTTGGTGAAAATGGACAGTCTAGATAAACTGGCTGTGGATATGTACAGTACACAGACCGTATAGGGCCTACTCAACCAAAAGAAAGTGTCTACAGGAGTCCTATTTATAAGCGCACGTTATTGGAAGTCGCAGCCATACCTTTGTACTTCAGGGTGAAGAGCACGCCGCGCGCGCTGGAGGCGAGGATGTGGGCACTGTCACGTGTCTGACTCTCATATCAAGCTGAGCGGAAACGACTTTCATCGTTACGCTGCTGCCGGTCTGTTCCGCTGATAACTTGCACATCAACTTTATTCTTTCGAAAGTTCTTTTCCTGCCGCGCCCCAGCAAGAGTGCTTAAGTTGAAAAAGGTTTGCACATGCTGTTGTCAACAACCAGTCAGGCTAGTTTACGCTCTTGTTAACGTGTTAATACGGCTGAGAAATGTAATTCATTTTAAAATACTTTTAACGTGACCAAGGCAGTACACACCAAATTTAATGAAGGCATCAATCAAATTCAGAATGATTTCATATAAAAAGATCAATTCTATGCAACAAAATGCAATTTATAATTTCCAAATCGGACATTGCATTGCCAAGTAACTTATAGTCGTTTTAATGACTACAATCAGGGTAAACATTTAGCCAAAGGGTTTAAAGTCATCTTATGTTTTTGTTTAAGATTAACACCAAGAATACAATGTCTAGAGTAATAATTGTGACTGTAACTTTGGTGTTGGCTATCTTGTATGGACAAAAATTGGTACATGTAGTAATTAGTCACAGCCCAATAAATTTTGGATAGGCCTATTGTCCAAAGTCTTACCTCAATGCATCTAATTATGCATAATTATCATCTACTTATGCATATTTATGTATATCTTAATAAAAATTCGATTCCTTTAGTTTCAGCCATTTGCGAGTTAAATTTGAATAAAATCTGGTGCACTGAGTAATTCAATTGCACATAAACATAACAATTTGAATTCCCCTGACTAAAGACACTGTTGCTATACCGATTCGGGGCAAGCTTTTGCATAGCGACCACCATCTCTGGAATGGACTGGTTCCTTTGTGCCCCAAGTTCTTATCCATTGAGACCAGTGTATAGTTACAAGGCGTCTCTTATGTAACTAAGCAAAAGCTTGCCCCAAATCACGAGGTAAAGCAACAGTGGTTTTAGTAAGGAGAATTCAAGTTGTTATGTTCACGTGAATTTAAAGAAGTCAGCGTACAAGATTTGGGTCAAAGTTAACTCGCAAAAGGCTTTATCATTTCCTTGCGAAACTTTTGATGTACTCTTTCCTAAACCCAATCAGACTGATTGCAAACGTTGGATAACATCAATCAACATATGAACTATGATCATCTAATGAATCATCTGCAAATGTCGCTTTACTTGCTTAAAATCAAAGCACTTCATTGGCTGTGTCAAATGCATGTTTAAAACTGAGTGACTGAGAAATGTAGCTTCTAAAAGGAAATGCATATACAAGTTCATGAAAATGGTGGCACATGTATTGGGCGTTAGTCTTGAACATTTTTCGATTCCAGTGAGCCTCCAAACAAATTTTAAAAACCAGTGTATCGGCATGGTGGGGGTCCAATGGCAAGGTAAGAAGGTATTCAGAGAAATAATCGGAAAAAATTGAAAGAGTGAGTGATGTATTGAAAGTGCAATTCGTATGAATTTTGTAAAAAAAAATTGTGAAATTTTTTCTGCAAAGGAATATATGCATGCTCGTGGTGCACAAAACACTTGTGACAAAATATGTACCCTCGATTTGTCCTGCTGAGTAACAAAAGTTATTTTAATGGAAAGATTCTACAATCTTCTTTTTAGAAAAAAAACTGGGAAAACAATCGTTAATTAAATCTAAAGAACAGTTTTTTCTCCAAGATCTCGGAAAAAGTGAAGAAAGCGTAGGCTTGCCATTAGATCATTCTATTCCTTCATAGGGTTGCTGAAAAACATAAACAGACGACACAAAGCCGAATTATAACTTTAAAAAACTTAAAATCAACATTTGAAAAGTTATTGGTTTTTTTTAGTTATCATGTAATAAGATTCTGTTTCAGTTTATTTGAATTAAGTATATACAGAAATAATCCAAAACAAACATTCTCACATACAACCCCTCGAACCAGAATGATACAGTCCAACAAAGTGAGAAGCCGAACTGAGAATACCACATCGCAAGCAACATTTTATGACGTGAAATGTACGTGTTTCTCATGTTCAACATATAATAAAGAAAACTTGAATGAAGGAGCCATCGGTTGTTAATGACAAACCAGTACATAAACAGCATTGGGCCTACACAAACTACGAAGCCAGCTTTGAACTAAAGGCCATCCTGATGGTCATTAGCTTGCAATTAAGCCAGATCCACGAACTTAGAAATCAGGTTCGCTGTGATTTTATTCTGTCACAGCAATACACTGCTTAACTGAAA